GCTCTCATAGGGGAAAATCAACGCAAATGGATAGCAATGAGACTGGCTAAACAAGAAGAACATATGCATGCAAAACTACGATGGAGATGGAAAATCGGCTACTCAGCGGACCTCCGGGGTTGCGCTGGTGGCCTCGTATGGGGGAGGCCAGTGGGTCGCGTACGCGCTCTGTTGCTCTACGGACAGGAACTTGAGCTGGAGCTCGTAAATCTGCGCGTAGAAGGCCTTCATAGCCATGGCCTCCACCGCGACGATGAGCGTTGTCATCTCCCGCTCGAACCGCTTCGTCGACTCTCTACTAATGGCCTCGAGCTTCTCGTTCACTTCCTTCGTCGCTTTCTGGGCCTTGGTCGCAACCTTCTCCAACCTTTCCGTCAACTCCTTCATCTCCTTGTTGATTTCTTCGACCTCGTCGCTCATGCTGTTCATAACAGCAGAGCGCCGATCCTCTGCGTCGCTCTCCGCGCGCTCTGCGACGTCCGTAATAGCCTTGTAAAAAGCGGGCTCTCGCAGAAGCTTGGCGAGATTGAACTGAGAGATGAGGGTGATGTCCACCAAGCTCCTCGAGGAGTCGATGATCTTCTCGCCGCCGACGAGAGTAAACGCCAGCTCGTTGGGAACAAAGACATTGGTCGCAGAGTCGAATGTAAAGTAGTTGTTCAGGTCAAGCCGAGTCTCCTCGTAGGCCGCAGATTTGCCTTCGCGGCATGAGGCAATGAGGGTCGTGTCCTTCAACCGGATGGTCTTCTCCTCGGATACGCTTCGGAAGCCGCCAGAGCCGCGAGCAGTCCAGGTCAACCGGCCATTCATGTAGGCGACATATAGGTTGAGATTCACGTCCTGGGCGTTACCGCTCCACCGGATGGTGAGGATAGTTCCCTGGAGAGTCAGCGTACACTCCGGGTCGCTCAATCTAAATCCAGAGCTTTGGGTCGTAGAGCTCTTCCTACGATGGAGGGATACATCAATCTCGTGAGTGGAGAGCGAAAAACGGAACCTACTTCTCGCTATTAAACGTTGTAGAGCTATACGTTGTACCCCCAGACGAGGTCTCGTTCGACGTCTTTGTCGTCGAGCTCGAGTTCTTCGTCTCTTTGGTTTCTTTAAAGGAGCTTTCGTGCGTATAGTTCCCAGGTGTTCCCTTCTTGGGTGGGGTGGACTTGAAGTTTTTCCTGGTCGTACAGTCTTAGCAAGCCGAATGCATGAATCATGAAAAGTCCTCACTTGGGATCGGCGTTGTTGGAGGGATCCATGACGCGGTAGAGTGGTTTGTGTACGGGGGGAAAGATCAAGCGAGGAGTCGAAGCTAAGAAAGTAGGCTGCTGCGCTTGCGAACGCGACTTTATTCTCCAACTAGACGCCCGAGTCCAAATTAAACACACCGCGAGGGGACTGCACGGTGGCGTGGAATTTCTTCTCCAAAGACCAGGGAGAACTTGAACGTTCAGATATGAGCGCTAGACACTTGGTGAGGGCTATACATGGAAATGCGCCAAATTATGAGTGAGATCGACGGGGCAAGTTGGAGATCGCCGAAGGATCGATCCGTTGTTTGCGGTACTTCCCTAAGAGCCAACACCGTCAAAACCTGCGTTCTCACAGAGGAATCGAACTTCGCGGGATTCTTGCTCGTCGTGCGAATTCCATGTTATGCGACAAGCAAAGTAATCAACCGTTCTTTAACGTCAAAAAATTATTTTTACAGTTCTTTGGTTTCACGCTGTGGGCAAAGACTATCGCACGTGTGTTGGACGAACTTATTTTTGCACTTCTTTTCGCACCTTCATGACGATTCGGAGGCGGCAGATGCCAATGTCAGCTGTGTTTGCCGATACTCCATCCAAATGCACTCAGCAGCACATCCAAGAGCCCTTTACCCAGTGTAGTCCTCACACAGGCCAACCCGCTTACCCTATGCTCCTCGGCCCATCTCAGCACGCAAAAACCCCACGAAAGGCTCCGTTGCAATGCTCACAGCCGTCCAACATTCTGATCGCGCGCGTTTGCCATTCATCTTCCCACCTCAGCCCAAAATCAGTTGTTCTAATCGGGCAAGTGCTGTATCCACTAGGATGAAAGTAGAGAAGGTTAAAAATCTGCATTCAACCATAACCGAGACCATGTTATTTGTCTTTAGAAAAGAATTGGGAAACTCAGATCCAACAGTTCCTCTTGCTTCTTTGCAGTGTTTCCAGTTCCCCAGCAAGCATGCAATCTACTTTCCGGAGTGTTTGGAACCGTAATCTTCGTTGAATATGGCTATTTGGCACCGTGACAACGAAGTCCTTTGGCAGAGTTAGAGGGGCAGCACCTCCTCTACTCATATACAACCACTCACCCACCATCCACTTACCTTCGATGATGGAGCCGTGCTTTATTATCTTCGGCCCGAGTGCCGTCTCCGTTCCGTTGAGCATATTTCGCGGCATCGTCACGGTCCGGGTATGAGCCGTGGACGCCATCCACCACCGTGAGACGGGTATTGGTTCAAGATTCTTTTTGCCTGTAGCGATGCACTAAATCAATTAAGATGGAGCCCCTAGTATCCTGCAGGGTTCTCAGGAGGTCTGTACCTGTTCCTTGATAAGTACACGGACATTGGCATTCCAGTTCTCGGAGCGTACATTTTTCTCGTTGGGCGACCGACTCCTAATCAAACGGATACTCCTTTTGTGGTTGAAACTTGATTGCATCTCCGGAGCGAAGCGAAGGCGTTGTACCAGTGTTGTACTATGTATTGAGTGAGGCTCACAGGGCATCATTTCGGCAAGCAACTGCCGGCGCGAGCCGAGCGTACATTATGTGCAACTTTAGTGACTAGAAATTTGGTGCCTCTTTGCAGCGATGCCTGCTCTGGAAAGATTGGTAGCAGTTTCAGTGCACATGCAGTTGCCCCAGCCAGGTCTTTTCCTCTGCCCTTTGCCCACTGTTAAAAATGTCCCCTAGTACCGCTTCCACAGGCGCTCAACTGGTCATTCCTCCGTGAGCAGAAGTGCAGTGTATCAGGTTTCCGCGTGTCGGACCCGGGTACGTGCGTCAAAACGCTGTGTACGGAACCTGGCGGAGTATGCAGATATCTAGAAATAGCTATCGCCGAGTAAATGCCCCGTGAGGCGTAAATGAACCCGTAGAAGCACTGCTAGCACAGTAGCCAGCCTGGAAAACACACGTCTCCTGCGCTTACGCGCTTACCTTTTTGTTTCTTCATTGCGGATTGCTTCCTGGGATTCGCAGTACGCTTTCCGCCTGTTGCCGAATTATAATGAAGGCCCGCCACCTCTGGAACAAAATGACAGATGGACTGGATAGACGCCGAGGTGGAGGATACGCCGCGTGTACGGTGGATCAGACTGCTCCGCGGCCTTTGAATGGCCGACTTGCAAGTTGACTGCTGCGGATTTCCTGGACTGAAAACTGCTCGCTCGAACGCACGTATCTAAATTCATCCGCATGAGCAGCCCTTTGGTGGGTGGCCCGTTAAGAACACGAGTCGCGCACCAGTCAAGGCCGAGATACGTCCATGGCGGTTGCGGGACGCTGCCGCATCGCGTTTTCCACACTTTACTTTTGACAGCTTAGCCGAGCTTTTATTAGCTCGGCTAAGCCAAAAAAGCCGAAAAGTCGCAAGCTACCACATCATTTCTGCCAACTTTTTTTTTACCACAAGAGAAAAAGACTCAAAAGTCGCAAGACAATTGTGATCTTGCCGATGCGGCGCCGTAGAGAGGTCGAAGTGAGATCGAGATCGACAAACTTCACAATTGGTGCATTTCTTTGTTTTTCCAAACGAATATCGGTTTGTCGCCTAGAAGCTTGGTTTGGTTTTCGCGGATCCGGTAGATTGCTTCTATAGGTCAGTTTGCCTATAGACCACGCGACAGACTTCTCCGCGGCGACTCGGAGCATGGATGACATTTGCATACGGATCGCTTCCATGAATACCCACCCATTCCACGCTGTGCATAATTGGCATAGGAGTAAGGTGGCAATGCTAATACCTTTCCTTGGGTTGGAGACTTGAGCCGTCTTCTGCAGTCTTCTGCGACCACCAATTCAACTTGGCTGATTTCCAGTTTCTCCCGAGTTCCCGGGCCCAAAGAATGGCTCGCAGGCTAGAGACGAGCCAGAACAGACAATCACGCGACATTTGCTACCTCCTGCGACATCTGCTTCGATCCGGCTGCTTTGACTCCTCGGACCTTCCTATGGGCACGACGCGGCCACGCGTTTTCGGTGTTTTCCGCGAGAGAAATGATCTGAAATAATGTTTTGTTGCTCATGGGCGCTCTTGTTGAAATACTCTCGGAAATATCAATGGCCATAAGGAATCAGATTAGCAGAGGGGACACAGCTATAGGAAGGACTGGAGGTAGAACATAAAAAACTGAGCTAGAACATGTTCCGAACACGATCAAATCAGTGCTCTGTTTTCTTTGGCAATACAGTTCCCCGAAAATTTGACTGGGACAACTAGATGAGTTTTCTAGTCATTTGAAATTTTCTGCAGAGTAAAAGGAGGGTTGAACAACTGGTTTACTGGGCTGTGAAGATGAGTGTGACCAGTCGGAACAGAACGGCAACGGCCGGCAGGGCCGCCTGTCACACCTTTTCTGATGTGCCGTCCCAATGCCGTCCCCCTGCAAGACTTTTTCACCCAAAAAACACAGGGGAGCTGCTTTTCGGCCGTATGTAATTCACGGACCAAGTTCTATGTGAATTGGGTTGTTGGAAAAAGCAGAAGAACCATTCGTCATCCTTCGGGGCCTGTGTTCCGTCAATTTCACTGTTCTCTCGCGAAATTTCCTTCTAGCCCTATTCTACATATCAATAAGTTCAACCTAAGCCACCTCCGAGAATATTTGAATGACAACTGACCCCAACAGGAAAAACTTCCCGGAAAATCCGAACGGCCAAAGCGGCCGGATTTAAGCAGGTGTTGCCTGCGGTGGCTCTACGGTGACGCGTGGTAGCGTGATTGTCTGACAGCAGTACGAGAACAAGTCTTGGAGGATCAAGGTGATCGTTCCGTTCAGATGACTCGACGCAGTGAAAGCGTTCAACGCGGAAAGGCGAGGGTTCGACTCCCTCCAAAGACGTAATTCCACCGAGCCCACGCATATTTTCTCCGGAGTTCAGCAGGGCTAAGTTCAGCAGGATCAGAAGGCCACAGGAGAACTGCCAAGTAACAGTAGTGCCGCAGCTTGAATTTTCGAGAACTACATACAGTCGTGTGCACGGCGCAAACCTTTGGTTGAGTATTTGTTGGCTAAGATTTTATCTAAGTGCCAGCATAGAGCGCGTGGCCGAGAACAAGCCTTGTTGAAGAGACAACTGAAAGAAGGGCGAACGGAAGCCATGAGCAAGCCACGAGAGCCTGAGTCGTTTGAATTTCTAAGTTCTTCCACGATGAAGTCGACTGTCTTCACCCATTTGGGCGTGATGTGGTAGTCTCTCGTAGACAGACGGTACATTTTGCTCGTACCTCGCAAGTTGTAGTGATGTGGTGGAATCAGAGATCTTGAGGACATATCCACAGGAAACCCTTATAATTACCAGAGCGTGCGCAGCGTTGACGAACACAGGGCTTGTTAGTGTAGCTCCCGGCAACCCGGTTCGGACTAGACTCGTTACCAGTCTGCGCTACGGCGAAGGAAAATGATGAGATTATTTGCCGTAGGCAGACTGGTACAACGGGGGCCACGCCAAAGGGCTGCGCCCGGAGTTTGAATCTTTGGCCGGAGCCGAGGCTGCCGATCGGGTGGCTGTGTTCAGCCATCAATTCCCCGCCAAAATCAACTTTTTCACAGCTCAGCCTTTGGGCCATAAAATATTATTCTGAAGAGACAGAACTCAAGTTTAAAGGTTCTAAATTACCGATTTTCAAAAAAGTTCTGATAGACCCCCAGATTTGAGCAAAATCCAGCTTCGGGGAAATCTTTTCAAACTCCGGGCACAGCCCTTTGATCAAGTCCGAGTTGTACCAGTCTGCCTACAGCAAACAACCTCACCCTTTCTTTTGCCGTATGCAGACTGGTTACGAGTCTAGGTTCGGACATTGCCGCCCAACTAAGCACGGTTGCACTGCCACCCTCGGGCCGGCGTGTCTTTTGTCCTGCCTCGTGCCAGGTGCCATTCCTGTCCTCCGCCGTTTATCAACCACGAATTCATGCCAAACGTGCTTCAGTACCGTCATATACCCCCTCCGAGCTTCTTGGACTCCGCTCGCACTTGGTCTTCCAGAAACCGGACGGCATATCCTCTCATTGCCCCGCCCTACACGCGGCGCAAGCCGTGCGCGTCAGTATGCGGCGATGACTGGCGGGGCGTGTCGACGGAGACGGCGTCTTCTGGTGTGCGGGCTGCGCTCGGGCTCAGACTCGGGCACGCAGAGGGGCGCATACCGTCTTCCCTGCGCCGGCGGCTGCGCATCCGACACTGGCGAACCCCGTCGTGCCCTCCTCCGGGCGCTCCCTCTCCTCCCCGTTGTCCTGTGCATACCTCAACCTCAACGGCGGCACCAGCATTACAATATTGGCGTCCGCCTGCATTCTTCCCACATTCCCCACGCGCTACCTTGCCCTCATGAACTCCGTCCTATACATCGTCGTGCCGACTGACGCCTACGCACTCACGGGCTTTCTGACCTTCTGTTTTTTTTGCTTGAGCGGCGGGTGGTACGCTGGCGTCGACGCGGGTTTTTCTTCCTCTTGTGGGCACTTTCTGGGAGGGTGCGTGTGGCCGCCCGGCCTGAGGCCATTTTTTGCGGCAGGTCTTACGCCCGTGGTTGCACACTTCGCGGCGTATTTTGCGACTCCACGCGCCTTCCACGTTCTGTAGTCGGGCTATCATGTTCTTATCTTGATTTGGATATGCGCGTCGATGGGAGGACCTCCTCGTCCTCGTCCATGTTCCATTCTACGCCTTATCCCTCCCAACGCATCGACTCTGCATACTCAGGCCGTCGCGCGCGGCGAGCGTTCCTGCGTTGGGTCAATCTGCGTCTTTCCGCTTTTGTTTCTTGGTCGGATACGCGGTGGCAGGCGACGCTTTGTTTTCGACTCATCTTCCTCACACGACTTGGAACGTTTCTATCAAGTCCCTGCACCCGCCTCGATTGAAGCGGACTGGAATTTTTGGTGTGGTTAGGCCCGACCTCGCGTCCTGAATCACCTCCGACGCTGTTGTAATAATTGTTTTCAATCGGAAAATGAACGCAAATGGATAGCACTGTGCCGGGCTAAACGAGAAGACCATATTCATGCAAAGCTGGTATGGAGATGGAAAATCGGGCTCGATACCGGTGTGGGTGGGAGAAAATAAAAAAATAAAGAAATAAAGAAAAGAAAACTCTTCCCGCATCAATGACACCTGTCAAGAACATCGGATCTTCGTTATTTCCGCGCCTCACCGCCACCAGATAGCGGACATGGTTTCTTGTCCTCTCGGCGAAGAGTCTAAAAGCCTCAAAATATTTGTGAAGGATGAAATGGTCTGTCATGTTGCGGAGCCTTTTTTAAACCGGTATCTATGAGGACTTGAGTTTTGAACTCCCTTTTTTTCATTGCCGACCAGATACCACAAGTTGGGTTCCGATCAAGTGATAAACTGTTGCGGCTTCATCCGGCCCTTCGACGCCGTCATGCTGCTTTTCCTTGAACTCTCAAGCTCTCAACTCCTCTCCTCTTCATTCCTTTCTCATAATCTTCCTGTGTCTACACTGGCAAGGTCCTCTGGCTCTCATTCACACCCGGCCTGCTGTTTCCCCCAGCCTCTTTGATCCCGCAACAAACCCCCAAAAAGTGTAGTGCAACTTCAGTGTTTTGGGGACCAACACCTCAGTTACTTGCAACTATGGTTCCATGTACTATTAGGTACCTGTTTCAGCTTATTTTCAACTTGACTGTGGCTTCTCTGGATTTAATATGGTGAAATACTAAAGTAGTAGGTTAAAGGTCGTCTGTCCGGGCATGGGCTTGCTCTGCACCCCTGTATTTTGAAATACCACCCCCCCTACGTCACTGACTGTGTTTAATACAAGCTGTATGTTTACCTCTCTGCTCTGGTTTGTCCCAGGGCCTTCTGAGACATTAAAATTCGAGTTCTGCCTGGGGTAAGTCACCTCATTACTGTCGTACCTGGATCACACTGGTGTCATATAAAATGTGCTATCCGAGAGTTGTGTACCTTGCATGACTGTGTACACAGTTTATCTGCTCATTGCGTGTTCCTGGTGTGTTTTAAGTAATTGATGTGGCTTTTGTAAGGGATAAATTGTACCAAGTATCTACCACTCAACATCCATACATTTGCCAAGCGGCTTATCAGGATTTCTGCCTTTGCAACTCAAATCACTGCCACTCTTCCCACAATCCTGGCATTTATTGACACAATCCTTCCATCCTCTCCTTCCCTTGCATGATGGGATCCCACACTTTCGACAGGTACGGGTTTTCCGCTTCTTGGAGAGTGCGGGGATAGGCATCCCATCGGCGACATGCTTTCTTGCCAATTGTTGAAGAACTGTAGCCTGGGAAGGCGGTGCAGGCATCAGGGCTCGAGATGAACCCTGTTCCGAGGCAAATGCTGCAGATGAACTGGGACCGGCAATGAAGTACGTAGATGCGATGATTGAGGGTGCAGAGGTGCCCGATGAGAGACCTGAGTATGATATAGCCTGTGGCAGCACTGAGCTGCCATTGAACGAAATCAATGGTTCGTCGAAGAGAGGTAACATTCCGCTTGGAGCACTATGGAGTTTAAGTTGGGTCTCTGGGACAACAGGTGCTGCCAAGGCTCGAGCCGGGTTTTGAAGCCTGGAATTCAAAGCTGTCCTTTTGTCCGCAGACATGACTTTTGAGTGAATGATGTTGGTGTTTGTCTTCCAGTCGCCATTATAGTACACTTTGAGTTGCTCCGACAACTGCACAGTATTTTTTAGCTCAATAATGTTCAAGAAAATTGGGCACACCTTGTAAGAGATGTCCTCACGTTGATCTGCATGAGAATTCCAGAGGCGTACAAAATTATCCAGAGTGGTTGGTGTTGAAAATGCAGCGGGGTGCTCGGCCACCAAATTGCGGAACAAAGTTTTTTCTGGGGCACTATGCACAGGAAGGACGGGCTTTCTGGTTCCCTGCAATGCCGCAAGGTAGCGGTGCCGTTGTTCTGAGTGCAGTGAGGCCTCAAACTGAGCCATACCAGATTTACTGCGAATATCTGCCGGAATAGGAAGGACCCCGGCAACTTCATTAGTCGGTTGATAAAGGTTTCCATTCACCCAGCCCGTTAGCAGTATAGGATCAGTTAGGCAGTCGTCAAGTGAGGAGAGAAGCTCTTGAATTTCGTTTGTAAGCCAGATACTGTAATGGCCCTTAAACCGTAGCCCGGTTGAATTAAAAGTGCCAACCTACAAGAACTGATAAGAATTAAAATTGAACACCAACAAAACTCCAACATACAAGAAGATTGTGCCGGAGAATGAAATCTTTGAGACAAGCATTCACATGTCGAACCGAAGCACCCGAAGTTGGGAGGTGAGAGCGTAAATGGGTGTGAACACCACCTTCCGTGGCATTTGTTCCTCGTATGCATCGATAGAGAGGTAGTCCCGATTTGACGTCGATGCCGAGCTGGTAATACAGTGCAATTCCAGGTGGATCTGACAAGTTACCTTTGCTGATTAATTCAAGGACATTTTTTGCAACCGCCCACGCTGCAGAGTTGAAGAGGGGTAGACCTGTTGTTGCATCTTTAAGTGGTCCATAGGTGCGAAATACTTCAGCAACATCTCCATGAAGTTGCTCAGGTGGCGGGATTATGCGCTTACAACGTCGCCAGACCCAATCTGGGTTTGTGCGCAACATGTCATCCCATGAACGTGGTGGCTTTTGTTGCAGTCCCCATGCAACAATCCGGGCCTTGTCAGCGCTGTCGGGAATAAATATTGCGTCCCGGAGTGCCCTGGCAAATTCGATGCGCAGTCCATGTGCTGCAGAAATATAGAACATGTTGAAGATATGGAAGGGATCCTTGAGCACCCGGCTCCGAATACATTTCAACCAAACGAGGGCATGGGCTGCAGCTGTCGCAAGGACGT